GTTCTTCATCAGTCAATGTGGTAATTATGTTTCATGTTAAACCCACCAGAAAAGAGGGGCTTCCTAGAATTGTGATTTAAATGAAAGTATCCTAGTGTGGTATGTTATTAGTTTTTTCCCCCTTACTGTAAGAAAGCAACAAACAGAACAGATTAGACAGATCTCTGATTTGTTGATCCTTTTTCTTATCCATTATGTTATGATGTTTTGCTGAAGAATCATAAATTATATTGAAAAAAAAGAAAAAGTCTATATGATGAATAGATGCTATGTGTGTGTATGGATTAAATACATAGACACATTTTACATGAACATGTGGCTTAATTCCTTGTTGTATAATTTCCAACTGGAATCATAATATAGCCAGCCATCTCCAGAGTAAAATCATACTTTGTTATGACATGCATATCAGGTTGCCAAATTAGAAAGGTGAGCAGAAGTGATCCTTTAGTGCATAATGATTTGTTCACCTCATTCATTTTCAGGAGTTGGACGCGTCCTGCTGAAATCTATTTACAGGCAGGCCCTTCATCTATGATATATGCTGGAGAGTTGCTAAATAATTGTTGTTGGTGGTGTTGTATATATATATATATATATATATATATATATATATATATATATATATATATATATATCAGGGCACCTGTGGCAGATGTACGTTGTTATTGTTGACTTGTAGACCTCTATGTATTTATGGAACTCTGAAATCCGTGATTGCATGTTATTATCGTGTCCTGTATTTTTTTAGGCAGGGAGGGGGGAAGAAAGTTGATGCACAATACTCTTTCTTCTTGGGGGGGGGGGGGTATAAATAGCCTATTTAGATGAACCGGATCACACCAGAAAAATTTTCAGGGTTGATGTGGCGTCATGCGACCCTGATGCATGGGGTCTGGTCTGCTAGACCACATCAGCTCTGAAAGACTGGGAAATTTTTATTCTAAAAATTCATTATGATTTAAATTGATATTTAAACAAATCATTATGATTTTATTGTTGTTCTTTTGAGAAGAAAAAAAGAGACGAGAAGTTGGAATAAGACCATAAACATGGTTCAATGTAAGCCCCTTACCCCCTGAAAATTTGTGTGTTTCCTAGTACCTACCTACCACCTAAGCTAGACAAGCCTGAAACTTGAGTTGTAGAGAATGCCCTTCTGCAGTTCAACATTCTCCTACCTCATCATCATTTAGGTCAGGCTTTCTTTGAAATATACCTACCTACCTACCTACCTAGTCATGGAGAAGATGACTTTTGGTAGCCAGCCAATAAGTCTATTACGCCTACGAAAACAAATATTTTTTTGGAATCCAAATTTCTGTGGTACCCATTATTCAATTTTTTAAGTCCTTCAAAAAAGACTTTGATTAACTACTTGTTTGTGCAATTAAACTGCACATGAACTTCAAAATTATTCACATCATGATTCATGCAATATTCCCTCCTATCCTATTGTGGTTAATGCCGAGGTGGTAAATCTCTATCTATCTATATATCAGTGTCAACAACATGTCAAGTGTCTATATCGATGAACAATAATTTAGTCCCTAATCCGATACTAATACCAATAAATTGGCTACTGGGACTCGAGCAATGGAATGGAACTCCCATGTTTCTCTTGTTTAGGAGAAACATAATAATCCAATTCATGTCCTGTAACTACGCCCAACATACCAATCCAAAAACTCATGCTGACCATCCACATGATCTTATGAACCGGTAGATCATATCCAAACCTACGACTCGTTGATTTACCGGTGTTTGGAACCCAATTCAGGTTTGTTTTCACATCTCTTTTTTTCACGCTATCATATATATATATATATATATATATATATATATATATATATATAATATGTCAAACAATGATATGGATGTTTTATGCCATCAGAAAAAAAAAAAAGAGTTAAAATGTAAATATTTGCATAAGCATAGTAAAAGGAATAATCGTATAAGGATAAGAAATGGTTTGATGGGTTTAATTGGATCACTGAGATTTACCTTAAGTTGCTTGTTATGAGCCCTTGCAAGTTTGATTCCTGGTTACGTGGCCGATACCTGCATCACCACGCCTGACAGGGTTAGTTTGGTCATTTCTTGCTCATTTAATTACAACCGTCGGCCTTCGCTCCCCAGCATTTCCAAGAACGATAGGCCACTTCGACTTCGACCGAAACCTCCCTGCTTCCTCGCTCCTCCTCCTTCTCTCTTTCTCCCCTAAGCATTCCCTTTCAAGAAAATGGGCAGGAAACCCTCCCTCCCCATCGCAGCCCTTCTCCTCTTCCTCTCTCTGCCTTCACTCCAAGGTATGCCCCGGCTCCAATCTCCTTGGCTTGTGTTCCGATCCCATCGGTGGTTTCTTGGGTTCTTGATTGATCCCATTGTGGTTTCTCCGCTTGCAGGTTACGCGGGCTTCACCTGCGACGCCACCGTGTTCCCGAAGGAGGCCGAGTACGACTACATCATCGTCGGCGGCGGCACTGCTGGCTGCCCCCTCGCCGCCACCCTCTCCGAATCACACCGCGTCCTCGTCCTCGAGCGTGGGGGCGCCCCGGGCGAGTTCCCTTCCCTGGCGGGCCAAGATGGGTTCCTCCGGACCCTGGTGGACACGGACGCCCGGGACTCGCCCGCCCAGCCCTTCACCTCCGACGAGGGCGTCCCCAACGCCCGCGGCCGCGTTCTCGGCGGCAGCAGCGCCATCAACGCCGGATTCTACAGCCGCGCCCATCCGTCCTTCTTCGACGGCGGCGACGCCGGCGGCACGGTCGCCGCATGGAACATTGGCCTGGTGAACGAGTCGTTCGAGTGGGTCGAACGGGAGGTGGCCTTCCGCCCGGTGCTCCGGAGTTGGCAGGCGGCGGTCCGCGATGGGCTGCTCGAGGCAGGCGCGACGCCCTACAACGGATTCACCGTCGAGCACGTGGTGGGCACCAAGATCGGCGCCGCCACCTTCGATTCCCACGGCCGCCGCCACAGCGCCGCCGACCTCCTCAGGTTCGCCAACCCCACCAACATAAAGGTGGCGATCCGGGCCACCGTCCACCGGATCTTGCTCAACCCAGTCTTGCCCGGTTCTCTCTCTCTCTCTCTCTCTCTGGAAGCTATCGATGCCCGTCTAATCTCGCTAGCATGGTTCTTGGCCGTAGATACTGGTTTGGCTCTTGTGATCAACCTTCATCACCTCCATGTACCCTTTTAGGTTCGAGCGGACGATCGCGGCCCAAGGACCAGGTGATGGCGGCCGGAGTGGTGTACCGCGACGGCATGGGGCGCCACCACCGCGCGAAGACCCGCCCGGGAGGCGAGGTGATCCTCTCGGCCGGAGCCCTCGGCAGCCCCCAGCTGCTGCTGCTCAGCGGCATCGGGCCGCGGCCATACCTGTCGGCGTGGGGCATCCCGGTGGCCCTCCACCACCCGAGCGTGGGGCGGCACATGTACGACAATCCCCGTAATAGTATCTCCTTCATTCCCGCCGTCCCCGTCGACAACTCCCTCATCCAGGTCGTCGGGATCCCGGGCGCCGACGCCTCCTTCGTCGAGGCCGTGTCGAACATAGTCACCTTCCACTCCCCGGCCCCCTCCGTCTTCCTCCACCAGTCCGCTTCCCCTCTCTTCGTGACCGTCGCCACCCTCATGGAGAAGGTCCCCGGCCCCGCGTCCGAGGGCTCCCTCCGGCTCGCCTCCCTCGACGCCAGGGACAACCCCCTGGTCCGATTCAACTACTTCTCCAGGCCGGAGGACCTGGCGCGGTGCGTGGCCGGGGTGCGGCGGCTCGGGGACGTCCTCTACGGTAGGTCGATGAAGGAGTTCCGGGCGGGAGCCACAGGGTTGCGGGGAGGGAGGGCGGGGCGGAGGGACACCCGGTTCGTGGGCCCAGCGCTTCCGGCCAACATGTCGGACGACGCCGCGGTGGCGGCGTTCTGTAGGAGGACGGTGTCGACGCTCTGGCACTACCACGGCGGGTGCGCGTCGGGGAAGGTGGTGGACGGGGACTTCCGGGTGATGGGGGCGGCGGCTCTCCGGGTGGTGGATGGCTCGACCTTCAGGGTCTCGCCGGGGACCAATCCCCAAGCCACCGTGATGATGATGGGCAGGTACGTGGGGCTGAAGATGTTGCAGGAGAGGGAGGAATAGGTGGCCGAATGCATGAAGAGACGCAGTGAGAAATGGTACGAAGTCATCATCCATCTGCAAACTGTGCTTGTCCTGTGTTCTGCATGCTTTTTACCCACACAATACCTGTATAATTTGCAGGGATGTATCACTTTTGTTTCTTCCTTCATGCATTCCTCTCGGATACCATTACTGCCTGAAACCATTCACCGGCCAATAATATACTCGGGATTCATGTATATACAACTCTAATTGACTTGCCGTGCATTGTCTACTTCTTACGTACGTACAAGGAACTATCTCCCTAACTTGTCAGGTGGAAAGATTTCATTGGTTTCAGTGGTAATGAAGTACATGCGTCATGAACAACTTCCTGCATTGATATTTGATTAATCCGAATTTTAGCTGAATTATTATGTTCATTATGTCCGATTATTTCTTGAACAATGTTCAGATTGTGCTCTGTGTGTGTGTGTCTCCAGATTATAAGCAAAACCATTTTAACTAGGGTTTCAAGGGGAGGAGGAGGTAAACATACCTAAAAGGGTAGAGCTTCCGATATCCCAATAATAACATGAGAAAGCAAGGAGAAGACTTTGTCTGTCCACACGTCGTACTACCATCACCATCAAGCTTCTGACGAGATCTGCATGCAAAAGGCCAAGATAGTAGATTTAAGGGATTAACCACTAAACATATGCTTTTAAGCCGCCATTACTTCCTCGGTGGGAGAAAGCTCCGTCTCCTGCATGGCTTTCAGTTGAACTCATCACTAGAACAGAAGGCTTTTGGGATAGGCAACCAACCTCCCCTTAGCACAGCCAGAAGCGGCATCTCTCTCTCTCTCTCTCTCTCTCTCTCTCTCTTCTTTTATAACCATCCTACTTGCCGTTGCACTTTTAATCCCCACCTCCCAGAACTTACATGCAGAGAGCAAAGGAGAAAAAGGAAGGGTGAAAGCCCAGAAGCCAACTTCCACTTCGGTATTCCTCCCTCCCTCACAGTCTTATACTCTCACTCTTTTCTTTCTCTGACCCTCTCTCCCTTTCTATCTTTCGAAGGGCCGTCTGATAGGAAGATGATGAACAGATCCAGCTCTGCTGAGGCCTACTTTGCCCCTTCCATGATGTCCTTTGTTGGGCTGGAAGGCAGCAGCCTAAAGCACCAAACTTGGGATTGGGAGACCAGCTCCATCGACGCCAACACCACCACCACCCCAGTCACCACTAGCAACCTCCAAAGCCATCCATTCTTCCCCAACGTGCCCTTACTGGACTGCACCCCGCCTCCTTTGCTCCCCATGACGAACAGCTTCCCCTTCTACTCGGCGCCGCCCCTGCCCGAATACCCCGTGGGGCTCATCAAGAGGGAAGACGGCGTCGGTGGCCGTATCGGGCTAAATTTGGGCCGCAGGACCTACTTCTCGTCCGGCGAGTCGCTCACGACGAGAGGGGTGTATTCATTGAGCCACCAGCCACCGCGGTGCCAGGCCGAGGGGTGCAGGACCGACCTCTCCGGAGCGAAACACTACCACCGCCGCCACAGAGTATGCGAGTTCCACTCCAAGGCCACTGTCGTCGTCGTCGGCGGGTCGCAGCAGCGCTTCTGCCAGCAGTGCAGCAGGTAATGGGCCAGCTTAGGAGGCCACACGGCCACCAGTTTCCCACGGTTGCTTTCCTTCTCTCTTCTGGCTTTTGGATGCCTTCATATGCCGTGAGAGTGTTGCTTCTTTTACGACCGCTTGGGTGGAATGCAGCAACCGAGCCTGGCATTCCTACACATATCCACAATCTCCATGAACACTCTCAACAACATTATGAGGTGTCAATGCAAACATAACTCTCACGCCTGAGCAAGGAGATCAGTGAGGAGCTCGTATTGTTCCTGACACATGTGCAGAACCCAATGCTTGTTGCATCTGTCTCCGTGAGCCATAGGAATGAAACCCCAGCAGTGTTGTGAGAGGTGTGACTGCCTTTGTCTTCCTTGTCCGTGTTCTCCTGTAACTTAGTACATAACTCCACATTCCTTGTTACCCCTTTCTTGTAGCTTTTCGAGGCTTTAATTGCAGCACCTACCCTAGTCCAGATCATCCATGGCACTGGCTCTCTTCTTCTCCTTATAGCTTCTGTTTCCTTGTTCGACGTTGGGTCCTTTTGCATTCTGTTGGTTCCTTTTCTTCATGTAGGGGCAGGAGAAATAGGCTCATAGACTTTTCATCTTTTGCCTCATGTTTCTCCAAATGGTGGTCAGGTTCCATGGGTTGGCAGAGTTTGATGAGGCCAAAAGAAGCTGTAGAAAGCGCCTGGCCGACCATAACCGAAGGAGGAGGAAGCCTCAGCCCCCAGCAACGATGGCAGAGCCCTCGGCCCCCAACAACGCAAACGCCAGCTCCCGAGGCCAGAAGACCACCAGAGACAGCAGTAATCTCGGTGCTCCGATCCCGCTCTTCTATCAGCAACCTCTTAACGCTTAGAATCTCTCCTCTTCTCATGATGCATTTACCATTGTGTAATTGGACAGCCAGCACCAAGCCCACAGGTACTGTTTGTACCACAAATGCAAGTACCATGGTTGGACCGGAGGGCCAGCAATACAAGGACGAAGGGCAGCTGTTGAGGAATGGACCGGCTCTTTATCGCGGAGGAGTCGCAGCAGGAGAAGGTGACATGGGGCCTGATCCCATGTACCAAACCCAAGGACACTTTGTCGAATCCTCCTCCTCCCCTTCGGCATCCAACGCTGCCAGCTTCCACCACCGCAGCAACCTCTTCCCATGAGCCCTCCCAGACCGCGGCACTCGTGAGAGCAGCAGCCTCCACCTCAGGCAGACCGTGTTTGAGCTGGGCCACTTGTGATCGGTAGGGAAGTGTCTGTGATGGATGGATGAGCGATGGGCTACGACAAGCACTCGAGTAGAATGCGAGTCAGCTTTGCTTTCCTGGGCCTTGGGTTCTTCTTACTCTTTCTACTGTAAATAATGATTCGCTCTTTAGAGATCCGTACTGCAACCTTGCTCTCCGTAGCATCTATATCGTATTAGTCGAAAGCAAGTTCTTATACAATGTAGAATGAAAGCAGGGGGGGGTACCGTCTGCATGTCGACTGCGCAACACATGAAGGAGGGCAAAGACGCAACTGAGGGAGCGTTATCGACAAATAGTCACCATCGACCGGAACGCAACAGTCGACCCCTCCCATCGTCCGTACCCTCGTTCTTCTTCTCCCTTCGGTTCCTCGCGAGCCTTACGAGCGCCGGACGCCGTAGCAATGAATGCGACGTACGTGCGATGCGCTGATCGGTAAGACGCGGTCCTTTCGTCGAACAGGTGGCGGACAACCAAGATGCCGGATTGCGCGGTACAGCGGCATGGGAGGCGACGGCTTTACGGAGAGAGAGAGAGAGAGAGAGGACGGTTCGGGCTACGATGCTTTGGATGCTGGCCGTGCTGTACCACCGCGCATCGTGGTGGAGAATGGGAGAAAAGCTCCAAGCCGCGCCATCAGTTACCACCGGAGCCGGGGAAGATGTCGTCTCACACCACGCGTGCGATAGTTGAATCCATGCGGGGGTTTGGGTCTCATCATTTTGAAGCGTACTAGTACTTGTCGTCGTGGTAGCGATCGTGTCGGGCGGGGTCGGATCAGCGGTAGTTGGACCCGTCCAAGCACCGAATGTTGGATAGGGTGGAGTCTTATCGGACTTATAATGGATCCAAAATTCGATCAAGTTTTCTTTTCCGACAAAAAAAATTAATGTCCACAACGACAAAAAGATAATTATCGAGTCATATTTATACCCTCAATCAACCACGTACTTTGTCGTAGTTCCTAAACGAATACAATATAGAGTATGACATAATTTCTTAGAAAAGAATCTATAAAGTAATCATTAATTATCGAGGAGTCTCAGTAATTCTATACTCAAAGACAAAGGATGTAACGTCAAAAAAAGAGTATTGAGATAATTAGCTCAAGATATATCCAAATGGAAAAACAATAAGAAACTGAGATGGAAGTATATATATATATATATATATATATATATATATATATATATATATATATATATATATATATATATATATATATATATATATATATATATTAT